TTACTCAATGCAGAACATTACAAACTAGCATATGTTTAACCCAGGAGGGACACAACACTTCCGCCTTTTGTTCTTACAGCCTATGAAAATGACTGATGTTGGAAAAGAGGACTGCCTGAAGGTTTTTGCATACTGAAGCATGGACTTACACCACAGCTTTTCATTTAGCCAGTGGGAGGCGGGGTATAGAGAGGTTAGTGAATAAATCTAAGCAGTTTTGTTCATTTTATATTGTCCCTTTAAGAAGTCACTTATTCAGGTGAGTGTTGTACTTAATAGTTGCTCATTTATATTGTTATTTGTCTTCAAATTCAAAAATGCATCTACTTTGGCAGAAGAACAACTATAGAGGAAAACTAAATAGTTTACTGATGTTAATGCCAGTTCAAATATAGACCTATAAACTATGAGACGCCATCATGGAAAACAGTCTCATATCTAAGTGGTGATTTTATGACCCTCCAATAAAAAGGCAATTAGGAGATAAATAGCATGCATACTTGCTTTGATTAGAGACCAATGTCTGGCACATCCAAATCTACAGCAGATGTGTGACAATGACATAAAAAGGATTTAATGGAATAAGGAATCAAAAAGAAATTGTTGGTGAGATTTTTCTGTGAACTAATTAGTAACTGGACATTTTTACTCAGGAATTGCTTTGAACAGTGCACATTGCTTTGCCACATACAGTACATCTGTACTTGCAATTTGTGGAGTTTTATTAATGATTATAAAAGGTCAGCGACTTTAACATCATTGACGTCATAAAATAGCTGTATTAGCATAATACTTTGTACATACAAAGTCCTAATAATAATGAAACAGATGTAGGTGAGATGTAAGAACAAGCTTTTGTTTCCTGGTTTTCGCTCTAGCCTTTAGCTTTAGAGGCTTTGATAAGAGAAGTATGTGAGAATCTTTTCTAATGATTGGTAAATGCTGTCCCTAGCAGGTTAAACCCTCTCAAACACTGATTGTTGTATAACTTTAGATAATCGTGTTAACTTGCTGGACTAATTATTGACTTTCCCACAGAAACAGCAAAAAAAAAAGAAAACGCAGAAACTGTTTTCCATTCACACTTGCTCCAAGCACAACAGTTAATCAGTTACCCCTATTTAACAGGCATCCAGTTTGATCTTTAAAGGAGATCACACACTGATCAAAGGTCTTTGTCCCTTTTTCAGGAGCTGTCTTAAAAGCCTCATCAGTCCATGGGTCCTTCATCACTGGAAGCCATGGAGGACCTAAACTCTGTGACTGTGGGCCCACTAAAGCGTAGAGTACAAGAGAGGAAACGGATTCGTGAGATTATCAAGACCAAGTTGCAGCGAAACCTCTCCTGCTCAGGATCTAAACTGAAGAGGACTCTAACAGGCTTCTTCCCTGTAGTGAAATGGCTTCCGAAGTACAAGGTGAAGGACTATATATGGGGAGATCTGATGTCTGGGATCATAATTGGCATCATATTGATCCCTCAAGCAATTGCGTACTGCCTGCTGGCTGGCTTGGATCCCATCTATGGCTTGTACACATCATTTTTTTCAAACATCATTTACTTTTTCATGGGAACGTCAAGACATGTTTCTGTGGGCATCTTCAGTCTCATGAGTTTGATGGTTGGACAAGTTGTGGACCGAGAGGTCTACCTTGCAGGCTTTGATTTGAATGAAGACAGTACGAAAAACGCATTAGGGTTAAATGGCACTGGGCAAGCTAACACTACTCTGGTCAACTTGAAGATCATGGCACTGAATATGGAATGTGGAAAGGAATGCTATGCCATTAGCATTGCCACAGCTTTAACATTTCTTGCTGGAGTCTACCAGGTACGTACATTTTCTTAAATCACATCTGCAAATCACCACGCAAAGATTTAAGTGCTGTAACCATCAAACTCAAGTAAAAAAAAATCATTTAAATAAATGTGAGTGAGAGATTAGAAGAAATGAAGGGTGACCAAAAAAAACGTTTCTTGAAATGCACTTGCACGTCACTTCAATTGTTCACACAATTAAACCTGCGAAAAGAATCATGGGAGCGAGTGTCTCTCAGTTGTACCCTTCAAAATCATTTCAAAGTGTCCTCTGAAGTGGCCCATTTTGAGCACTTTGGTTTGGAACAACCCTTCAGTATGGGGGTCATGATTGCGCTTACTTCTAAGTGCCCTTTGGAGAAGGATTTATCCCAGTTGGAACACAGCGAATGCCATCTTCCAATTCCATTTATATTATATTTATAAATAAATAAATACATAGTAGGGAAAAAAAATGTCATGTCCTTCATTGAAAAGTGTATTTTATTTTCTCCTCAGGTGCTGATGGCCATTCTCAGGCTGGGGTTTGTCTCGGTTTATCTGTCTGCTCCTATGCTTGATGGCTTTGCCACTGGGGCATCTTGCACTATCCTCACTGTCCAGGCAAAGTACCTGGTTGGCCTTAAGATCCCTCGACACCAAGGCTATGGCACAGTGGTGGTCACTTGGATCAACATCTTCAAGAACATCCACAAAACCAACTTCTGTGACTTAATAACAAGTGCCATCTGCATCATAGTGCTGCTTGCAGGAAAAGAGATCCAGGATCGCTATAAGGACCGTTTGAAGACCCCACTGCCCACAGAACTGGTCGTAGTGGCAGTTGCCACAGTAGTTTCCCACTTTGCTGATCTAAATGGACAGTTTAGCTCCAGTATCTCAGGTGCCATTCCAACTGGTTTCATTCCGCCAAAGGTGCCCAGTGTTGAACTGATGCCCCGTGTAGCATATGATGCCATTCCTTTAGCTGTCATCAGTTTTGCTTTTACTGTTTCTCTGTCTGAGATGTTTGCTAAAAAGAATGGTTACACAGTTAGGCCCAACCAAGAAATGATAGCAATTGGGTTCTGCAATATAATTCCTTCATTTTTCCATGCTTTCACTACAAGTGCCGCCCTTGCAAAAACTATGGTGAAAGACTCAACAGGTTGCCAGACTCAGGTCTCCAGTGTAGTGAGTGCCTTAGTGGTTCTTCTGGTCCTTCTTTTCTTTGCACCATTTTTCTATGCCCTGCAGAAATGTGTTCTCGCCTGCATCATCATCGTCAGTCTGCGGGGCGCCCTGCGCAAATTTCTAGACGTCCCTAAGCAATGGCGTGAAAGCAAGATTGAGGCAATTGTCTGGTTGGTGAGCATGAGCTCAACTGCTTTAATTAGCGTGGAGATTGGACTGCTGATTGGTGTTGTCTTCTCTATGATCTGTGTGGTGGTCCAGACTCAGAATCCTAAGGTTTCGTTACTGGGACAAATTGAACAAACCAACGACTATGAGGACATGGAAGAGTATGATAATCTTTCACCTGTTCCAAAGGTGAAGATCTTTCGTTTTCAAGCGCCTCTTTTCTACGCCAACAAAGACTTCTTTTTAAAATCTTTATATAAAGCAACTGATCTTGAGCCATTCCTTGAAATAACCCGCAGAAGAAAACTGGAGAAAAAAGCTAGAGAAAAGGCTGCGAAGAAGACAGATAGAGTAGATGAAACAAATGGAGATGTAAGTGTAAGCTTGATTTCACAACACATTGATTTTCATACTATCATCTTAGATTGCTCCTGCATCTCCATAATAGACACAGTGGGAGTGAGCACCTTCAAAATGGTTTTAAAAGACTATAAAGAAGTTGGCGTGAATATAATTCTAGCTTGCTGCAACACACCAGTGATAGATTCTTTAAGGAGAGGCTCTTTCTTTGGGGCTGGTGACAAAGACATGGAACAACTGTCATTTCATACCATCCACAGTGCTGTTTGTTTTGCTACTCATACGACACAACCGGTTAATGACTCGTCTGTGTAATGTATCCACAAATGGGCCTTAAGAGCTGAAAAACATATTTTCTATTAAAACACATGAAACATGATATTCAGCTCTTAGAAATTATAAATGTTGAATATGTTCATAAAATTAACAAGATAGCACAAAAAATTCCACTCCTGTTTGAATCAGAACTGAATATGAACATTTTGAATGCTACTGTACAAACTCAGGGGTTGTTATTATACACACTGGAAGACAAAATTGCATTTATGTCTCAAATTAAGTTTTTTATATTTATCAAAAACTACAAGAAAATCGAACAAATAACAACATAACTACTTTGTGGCATATTTCTGAGACACTAAGCCCTCAGAAATTGATTTAATACCATTTTAAATGTAAACAAGCCAGATAATTAATTTCCTGTGTGATTGGTGCAAAACTGCTCTTTAATTGCCAGAAAGAAAAAAAATATCTTCACACATCAGCAAATAATACAGGACCATGACAAGACAATACAGATCTGTGATTTTAAGTTGTCTGTTATACTGCCTTTAAAATGTGAAACTGTTTTATGGTGTTCTTGAGGAAATAAAAGTAAAGGACAAATTTAACCTGGAGATGTGATTATATTTTAAACCAGTGTCAATAACAACTATTTGGACTCATGATATTGATATTGTATCACCCACCATATTCATGTTACATAATGATTACATTGCAAAAACATCTTAATTTTAGTTATTTTTAATACATTTTGGTTAATAAATTATTTCTTTTGGTTTCAGTTCACTTATTGGTTACACAATAGTTTGAGATCAAACAATAATAGGTGAACCCCCCTGTTTTGTACAATTGTCCATGTTTTTGCCAAGAAAACACACACAAAGGTGGCATTACAGCTACTGTACCTTAGTTGAAGATGCTCTCCACAGACATTAGATTTTGTTGTTTGTACCTCCATGGTTCGTTATTTGTGTCAGGTTTGCAACACAAGTCCAGATTCTTATCTGTTCAGTGAAGCAACGTTATTCCAATAATTTATCGCACTAACATCCTAAAGGATACCCGTAGTTATCACAAATCACTACGGAATGTATTTAATTATGATAAGGAAACTATTTCGCTCCGGGGCGCGTAGTGGCGCAATAGTCGTGACGCTATATGAGTCTCTTTTCATTGCGTCCAGTGAAGAAGACAAGAAAACATCAGCTGCGATTCAAATTTTTACCGCTCGTAACGTTAGCTGCAGAGCGAGACGACTGCTATTTCTTGTCATACTTCATATTTTATTTAGTTTATCGACGGAGTTGTGCGTTAGTAAGTTACGTAACAACGATGTCTTGTCGCAGAAGGTAAGTGTGTATAAGTCGAGAATGTTAAACTGCCAAACTAGCGCTAGGTTAAATTGTATTATGGCCGTGTCTCATTATCTTATGTAACGTTATATCGTGGCTGGTAATGCAAAACACACGCTAGTTTCATTCGTTACCTCTTTTTGGTTATGATGCGAGTTTTACTGACGCTGTAGTAATTTTAAATAAATAACTAACTAACTAACGTAACTAACTAAAGTCTTGCTGATCTGTTTTGTTGTCGTGAGCCTTATTTAGGCGTTAAGGGGTTTTTAAGGGGTTAAGACCATGTTAAAGGGATAGTTCAGCCAAAAAAATTATATAATAATAATAATATATTCTGTCATCATTTACTCACCCTTATGTTGCTTTAAAACCGTTTGACATTCTTCTCTTGAACTTAAAAAGTGATGTGTCTTAGTCACCATTCACTTACATTGTATGCCAAAAAGATGCTGTGAAAGTGAATGGAGACACCACAAGATCCATCAGTATTCATTTAATCTAATTTATTTCCTTATGTTTTCATGAGCAGTGAAGCTCTGGCGTTCTCTCTGGTGACTGAGATCAATCATTCCATGGCCAGGCTTGTGGACATATGGGACAGTATCGGCATCATGGAGGAGCAGAGGGTAGAACGAATGCAAACTGTGAAAAAACATATAGATGTAAGTAATGCCTTTGCATGCATCACATCTCTCACCGATTTCTGATTGATGCTTACTCTGAATTAAACATGTTTTATAGGAGCTTTTGCATTCAATGATTATGGAGGAAGAGGCCTTAAGACATCGCATCAAAACCGATGTCATTACCTTCCAGAAACAATTGGATACACTGTGCTTGGAACTGGGACTGGAACCATACAAAGTAAGACAAGACCTGTGAAGTATTGCCTTTTAGTAATCGGGCATTATAAACTATTGATGCTTGTCTGAAATTTGTCTACATTTTTTAATGTTTTTCTAAGAATTTTAACCCTAATTATGGAAAGCTCCAGTTTTTCTGATCGTTATCCTGCAATCTTTTATAGTTGGAGCAAGACCTTACAGTCCTCCAGATGGAGAAGAACCTGCGGTGCCATGTTGAATCTCTTCTAAAGGAGAAGAATGAACGTTTAAGAGAGCTGAGTGATTTGAAGAAGCAGGACGAGGATTTGTGCGTAACTTTGTGCTCTACGCCATATTACATCCCATCGGGAAGTGTGCCTTCTCGAACCCAGCTGCAGGAACTCCAGGAACATGTTGAGAAACTCGTCAAAGAAAAAGTATCTATCCCTTTTCTTTTTGGAACTGTTCTGATCACTCATGAGTTTCTGTCCTGGATGCTTTTGTGATTTAAGCTCTGTTTGTAGGTGAGCAGGGAGAAGGTGTTCTCTGGGCTCAGGGAGGACATCAGGAGCCTGATGGACGAGATGGGACATGAACCAGAGAGCAGTCTGGAACGGGAGTCCATCTGCCCTGACACGCAGCATCATATGACCCCTTTAAATCTCACCAAGCACCAAATGTGAATAAAAATTGGCTATACAAGTATAAATAGAAGTATATAAAAAATACTATAGATACTTGCCAGCTGGCTTATAACCATTATTATCATCATTATTGTACTCATAATTAATATTTATACCACACAGCTTGCAATGAAAAAGGAATCCTTGATTTCAGCCCGAGACAAACTCAAAGAGCGAGCTACGAGCCTGTGGAATCGTCTGAGTTGTCCTGAGCCGGAAGGCGAGGCGTTCCGAGAGGCTGCCATGAGCACTCTCTCTGATGATATCAGACGGGTGAGAGCTTTTGCATTTAACCCACAGGATGTCCTATCAAGGATCTTAACTCTCCTTGTGGTTTACCAACGAGTGCTAATGGAGTGCATTTCCTCTTGCAGTGGCAGGGCTATGTGGAACATCTGGAGGAGCTGCAGATGGCTCAGCTGGAGGAGGTGGTTGATAAGGTCCGACAGGAGCTTGTGGTTCTGTGGGACAAATGCTTGCTTGGACCAGAACAGAGAGAGCCGTTCAATGTTCACTTCTGTGATGGTAAGTTGCCTGAACCTTGATATTCAAACTTAAAGGCAGTCAGGTAACTTCATAATATTAAATTCATTTCAATTCTCAGCAAAAACCGATGTGTGATTAAAGGTATAGTTCACCCAAAAATGAAAACTCAGACCATCCAAGATGTAGATGAATTTGTTTCTTCATCAGAACAAATCCAGATGAAGAAAAAAAAAACTCTTTAATTGTAGTCAATTAATCATAAATGGTATCATAATAAATTAAGTAGATCAAATATTTTATTGATGACCAACCCTGATTAAAACCATTAAAATAAAAATACAGACTAACACTGATTCTTTGCCCATGGAAAATGGCTTTAACTTAATTCTGGTTGAACAGATCACTACACCGAGGAGCTGCTGGCCCTCCATGACACCGAGATGCTGAGAATGAAGGCTTTCTATGAGGCAGCACAGCCCATACTGGAGGACCTGGAGAAATGGAAGAGGAACTGGGCTCTCTTTCAAGAGTTTGAGGTTCTCACAGGCATCTCACAAGTCCCATGCTTAAAGTGAACTCAACCTTATGTGGTTTCACACGTGTCATTTTGTTCTATGTTTCGCTTACCAGAGAAAGGCTGCAGATCCCAATCGCTTCAGTAACAGAGGAGGATCTCTGCTCAAAGAGAGTAAGGACAGGGCCAAAGTGCAGAAACTGCTCCCAAAGGTATTTGCACATTGGCTGTTAAAGGATATTTTTTTGGACCATGTAATTTTTTATCTTAAAGGAATAGATTACGCAAAAACGAAAATTCTGTCATTAATTACTCACATTCATGTCGTTCCAAATCCGTAAGACCTTTGTTCATCTTCAGAACACAAATTAAGATATTTTTGATGAAATCTGAGAGCTTTCTGACTCTGCATAGACAGCAATGCAACTACCACGTTCAGGGCCCAGAAAGGTAGTAAGGACATCATTAGCCGCGTTTCCACCGTCGGGCCAGAAGCTCCGCTGCACTTCACTAAAACCCGCCCTTTACATGCCTCTCAGGAACAACGTCACGCAACCCCATCATTTCACCAACAAAGAGAACGTATCAGAAAATGAATAAGAAATAAGTCACTGGAACTAGCGCAATCACAAAACGAACATGATAAAAGCGGCCGTTTGTTTGCATGTTTTGTTGAAGATTTAAATCCACAAGCATCGGATGTTTTACAATAAGTGATACATTGATCATAATGAATTAATTTATCAGGATTGAAAATTAATCACACAGAAATAAAGCGGTATAAACATAGCCTATCTACTTATTCAGTCAAGTCTGCTTCTGTTTATTTGTAGTCACAGTATATACATCACATTTAGAAAGAATGATAATTTCTATCTTTTTATAAAAGTTCCCGAACAAAAAACATGATTATATTTTTATGACATACGCGGAGCTAAACTCTCGAGACGAGACTTATGACCAATAAAATGTTACTAAATAAATACACGATTGTGATAGAGAATAAGAAGCTTACGTCTGATTTCTTCAAGCGGTCGTATTTACCATGTTTACTATGGTAACGTTAATGGCTAGCGTGCATAGTCTTTTGCATCGCTTATAAATATTTCTGCCTTGTATGGTGATCATAATCCACATCGGATCAAGTTATTTCAAACACTCGCTGCTGTCTGAAAGTGAGTTTTGAACTAAAATAATTTTAAAAGTCTTTAATGCTGGTGTTAGCTGTTAACTTTCTGACATGATCCGCGGCGCTGACGCTCTCCAGACGCGGAGAAACTCCGCCTTTGTTCATAACCACTCCTCTAGC